GAAATGGTTGCACAGCTGCTCAGTGTCTGAATCTCCGACCTCTGAACTCAAGCATCGCTTTGTTTCTATGTAACATATTGTAACGACCGCGGGAGCAGGCGTCGGACCCAGAAAGGGGTTGAACAACACATTTATTAACCGGAACCGGGGAAAGGTACTACACACACAGGGACAGGGGGTTACAGCGCTGCACCAATACTTACACAGACACGGGAGGGAAGAGGCTGCTTCACAGTCCCGTCGCCTTATATATAGTCCGTATCCCCCCAAGCCCCGCTCCTCAGGCGCTGTTCCCAGCCCGCCTTGCGTACGCACGGCCGAAGGGGACAGAGCAGCCCTTAAGCGCCCCACGTGGGTGCTGCAATATAGACTCTGTAAATTACAATCACTGCACCATCGGTCTTATAGCAGACATGATCTACCTCATGTGAGGAATGATTTTGATTTTTTTTTTTTAGAATGCCTTGCTTTTCCCAATCACTTGGTATACCATCCTACTCGGTAAACATGCCATTTATAAAGTAAGACATCATTTAGTGTAAACAGGAAGTAGGAACAAATTCTGTGTATCAGAAAGGACAATGAACCCAAGTTTCAAGGATTTTAGATTTCACAGCTCGCTAACGTCATAATCCTGTTTTCCGAGGTAGTCATATCCAAGTGTTATAGAACTACTCTTCCAATTGATCTTCTTGAAAGAAAACACCCACTGTTGCGGTTGAGGCTTTTTAGGTGAGAGTCAAAAAGTTGTTGAATCTTTTCTTTAAACGATTCAAGATCACAGAGGATTTCGTTCGTGTTTGAATCTCAGGGTGCTTGGAGAATACGGATTGTTTTTACACACTAGCTTTCAGTTTGACAACAAAACTAACCATCCTTAATTAAGACTTGGAAAAAACAGCATAAATCATTTATTCTTACGAACACATAATGGTCTTCTTAAAATAAAATGTAGCTCAATGTATTGCTCATGAAAATATATTCTTTGCTAGCAGTCGCATGCAAATTCGGTGCCACGTTGCTGCCTGTCGCTGTCCATTCACTTGTAATTACCCTATCTCCCAGATAACATTTATGCTGGTTAGTCTTCTTATTCAGTGATCCTACAGCAGTTTGGCGCCGTTGTGGGATTTGGTATGAACTTTGCATCACTTTTGTTTATTTTATTCAGAAGTAATTGAGATTTAATCTAGCAGAGTGCTTAGTATTATTATTATCATTAATAAACCAGTATTGCATGATGGTAAAGAAAGTTCTTGCTCCTTACTAAATATTTCCCAATTTAAACATTTAGGTTTGTGATAAACTGATGAGGATCATCTTAAAATTCCCCTTTGTGCTTTGAAAAAAAAAAAGTAAGTCATGTTTTTAGTGTTATTCTTCTGTTTTCCTCCTTACAGACAAATGCCATTAAAACCTCCAAATATAATGTGATTACATTCCTGCCTCTTAACCTCTTCGAGCAATTCCAGAGAATAGCCAATGCCTACTTCCTCTTTCTGCTCATTTTACAGGTGAGTTCTCTGACATTTTATCACATTCTGCCTCCTAAATGCAAGTAATCTTCCCCCAGTGAAGTAGATTAATTTGACTGGGTCATTTACAGTACTGTATGTCCTTCAGATAGTAGAAGGACATTGCTTTGCAAACTTTACTAAACTTGTTGCATTTCAAACCAAAGGAAGGTCATTGCTTTCTGCTCCATCATACACATGGGAATACTCCACAGTGATCAGCAGGACAAGCACAGCAGGGCATTAAATAAAGAATTAAAATGTTAAATTTCAAAATGGAGTTATATCAATAAGAGTTTTAAACAGTATGTTTTGCCAACCACTAAAATGTTAAAATAGGAACAAACACTACTACAAGTTGTGGAATGACAGGACGAAGGATACTACACTCACATGAGAGGACACGTCCATCGATTCCATCATCTGTCAAGCTATACACAATGATCTCACCCATTACTTTCATTACGCTCCCTAGCAAGACTGAGAACAGTTCCTCTCCATAGACACATGGATCACAGTTGGATGTTGGGCACAGAGCCAACATTGGTAGAGTTCACTCTGGATAGTGTGTATTTAAACAGATAGTTCATTGACAATGATGTGGCCCAGGACAATTGTGTATTATTATTATTATTATTATTATTATTATTATTATTATTTTACATGGCTGACAGGTTTGTCCAAAGCAATTTGCGTTTGTATTCAGTAATTATATTACAGTATCTGTCCTTGCTGTTGATTCAATAGTCATTTGACTATTTGTTTTAATACCCAACACTTTGCAATCTGTTATTGTTCAGCAGCCCAGCACTCCAATAACGCCCTTACAGCTACACTGGCGGGACAAGAACCCTTTAATCTGAAATGTGCTGCAGTTCACTACATGCTGGAAGACCCTTAGGAGGCCACAGGAGTTCATACATCATGCTCTGCCTGACTCCAAGCTCCTCGATGTCAATGATGTTCAGCCATTTGTTTGTCACTGCTTGAAGTACCCTGAGCGCAGCTGGCTAATAACGAAAAACTCAGTCTTGTTCGTTAGACAGCAGAGCTCATCTCTTCCTATGAGTGAATACCCTGGTTTTGATAAGCATCCAAACTTTTTGTCGTTCTTGTTTGTTTTTTTTTCCATTTTTAGCTAATTCCACAAATATCCTCCTTGTCCTGGTTTACTACGGTGGTGCCTCTGGTGTTGGTGCTAGCTGTGACTGCAGCAAAAGATGCCACCGATGACATCGTAAGCAGAGTTTTACGTAACTTGTTTCAAGGGGAGTTTATCAATAATGCACTTACTGGGCTTTTATCAGTCCAGGAGTTCCTTAATTTGTTAATGTTTTATCACCTGTTTTTGTATCACTTTGAGTTTTTAAACTATGAGAAAACCTCAAAACAGTAGCTGCCTTCCAAGAACTTCACAGACATTGCTTAGTCAGAATCTTGTAATTAATACTATAGGTAGAATAATACCAGGAATGAGCAGTACAGTGCCTTGCAAAGGTATTTATCACCTTTCAATGATATCAAATTTTGTTAATTACAAATGCTATAAATACATTTTTACAAAGTGAGAATTTTTAAGCAAAATTTGAACTCTCGAGCGGCTTATTTGTGGGGTGAAAGAAGTACAATTTCAGCAAAAACCACAAAGAAGGAACAAAATGTAAAATGTGTCAGTTGCATAAATATTCACCACCTTTCTACGGCAAACTACAGAATTAGTTTACAGGTGAGAAAGAGCAGGATTTCTTAGATGTGAAACAGAATTCAAAATCCTGAATGACAGTGATGACAGCAAATTCAGTACCTGCCAAACGCAAGTGCAAATCAAGTCCAAGTCTGTAGTTTAATCAATGAAGGCATCACTGCTGTCATTATTAAAAGAGTAAAGGGTGTATGAAATAATCTTCTAAATAATACTTCAACGATACTCTTAGTTTTTTTGTTACATTTTTGGAGCTTTTGGACATGTTCACTCTTTTTCTACTATTTTTACGTATTCAAAAGCAAATGCAATCCAGCTGCCTTTTATTGAGCATTTGATCATTGATCTACTGTATGTTTTAATATATGTGCAGAAATATTCCTTAAAAAAAAACTACGATTTTATTTTACTTTCAATACTGTCCCAGTTTGGGTTTGACAGTTGGTGGTTTGAGTGAATCTCATGGGAGCAGCACAGACACACTCTTGAATTGCTGCTAAGCAAATACTGTAAATGAAATTGGACTGAACCAAGATCTTTGTAGGGATACACAATAGACCTTACAAATTATCACAGTGTGGGACAGACAGCTAATGCCGGCATCACACTACACGACTTTTCCTAGGATTTTCGGTCGTGGCGAGAGTCGCTGCGCGCGCCCGTTACCGACAGTTGAGTAGTGTTTCACCGCCAGCGACTCCGTCACAGCGCTCTTAACGGCCCCTACGGCTCTCTGCGACTCGCTACGACAAAATCAAACTGGTTTGATTTCTCGTAGTGAGTCGCAAGTCGCAGGGGTGGGCTCTTGTGTCTGGACAGTCACAGCCAATGAGCGCCCAACCGGAAGTACAATGCGGCTGCAAGGAAAGAAGGAAAACGAGTGTTTTGGACTGTGCAAATGGAGGAGAGGCACATCGAACTTTGGAGCCAGCACAGATGTCTGTTCGATGTTTCGTGTTTGTTGTTTGTTTACTGTCGTGCGGTACTCCTCCTCTTGTTTCCGGTGTGCTCCACGTTGATTGGCTGCCAAAATGAGGCGACCTCACGGTTCTTTCGCCGCGCAATACCAGATTTGGAACCGTGATGAAAAGTCGCCAGGGAATCGTGTCATTAGTCATCCCCTGCAATTCCTAGTCGTCTAATTGGACACCCTCTAGGACAGAAAAGGCAGCGAGATTCAGCCGCTGCAGTCGTTCAATTTGACATGCTCTCCGACTAGAAGTCGGGTCGAGTCATGTAGTGTGACGCCGGCTGAACCTGTTTTTTGGTCTGTCCTCTTCAGTAACAACAGTTACTGTAGAGGACAGACCAAAAAATAGTAACATCAGTTACTGAAGTAACTAATTGGACATAAGGGCGCCTGATTGCTTCCTCGCTGCAGTTTTTCTTAGTGAAGCATTAGTCTTCACTCTCACATGATTCAACTTCATTTTGTTGTTTATTACCTAATAAAATATCCTAATCTATTTATATTTACAAAGCTGCCTTTCATATTTTGTAGCATCTCTCTCCCTACTTTCAAATCTCGATTGTGTAGTTTCTTTTGTTTCTTGTTATCCAAAGTTAATATTCTTTTCCTTTCTCCTGTCTGTTTATTTACACTTAAGACAATCTGCTTCCTGCATTGGTAGAGTCTTTCAGTCCTTTTTATAGAATTGCAGGGTACATTACATCGTGATCTAAACAAATGTCCTTAGGCTGCTTTTAAAAAGGAAATAGACAGCACTGCATTAGAACTGCTTTCCAGCTTGTTTCCTGAATCAAGCTAAACACCATATTTATAAGAGCAGAATATTAATTATTTTTAAAAATCAGTATTAGTTTGCTGCCAAATTAAAGGAGCTTATTGTAAATGGAAACAAAAAGTATATAACTAAGACAAGTATCCATTACCTTAAACACTAGATCAATCAATATGAATACAGTACATACAGTATCAGTGAATTTGCTGTTCAGTAAAACATTTTGAAGATCTGTTTACCATTGTCTAGTGTACTGATAGTTGACCTGTCTGATACAATTAAATTACACCTGCAATGGCACACCTATACAAGCATGCTCGTTTACAGTAAAAATCAGGAATTTCATTCTCTTTTTTACATAATGATTGAAATTACAGTGACAGAACAAAGCCTACTGTACACTACATTCAGGGTAGCATTTGCACATCATAAAAACACCCTTTCAACATCCTGTTTGTCAGTTAAGAGGAAGAGACCTCCTGCTTCAAGCATAATAGATCATTAAAATGGCTTGTAGTTAGCAGTTGTAAGCTCATTTCACAGAGCTTTCAACAGTGCTTGCACTTCTTTTATTTAAGTAGTCTTAATTGCTTTTGTGAACCTAAAAGAAATCAACATAAAAGTAAACAAATAATGACAATAAATGTATGCACACCATCATATGCTCAGCTGCACTATTTATATTGCTTAAAGAGAGCAAGCTGAAATAAATATAGACCAGTCATTAAGGATAACACACCTTATAGTCAGTCCTGTCCTAAAAATATACAGTTTTAGATATCCTTGTTGCTGAAACATCTGCTTTACAAAATGCTTTGTAGACGTACTGTTGTTCTGGTGTGCCATACAGTAGATTGAACTCTTGTTTGTTTTGTGCTTGTATCTAAGATGTGTATTTTGCTTCTGAACTGTCTCACTCTTTGAGTAATCCGATCTCTTATCACACTTCTCTCTCTGCAGAATCGACACAAAAGTGATAAACAGGTCAACAACCGCCAGGTTAAAGTCCTTATCAATGGAGAGTAAGTTCATTTGCATTACATACAGTATCAGTATTAGAGTACAATGTTCTGGGTATGGCCAAATTTAATCTTTGCAAACCTTTTTTTTTGTAAGTCTTCCAAGTGTCAGGTCTTGTGTGAATTGCTTAACTGCAAGAAGGAATATATAGGATATATTTTAATGAAAACACCCAAGGTTTATGAAGTAATGTGAAACTACAGCATTTTATTTTTCTATGGATGTCATAATACGAATAGGTGTGGGTGTATAGAATGGATATGTCTTGGCATCTTAGCTAAAGTGCTTAGTCCTTACTAATTTTGTTTTCCAGTGTGTTTGCAATGAAAACAAAGGTTGTGATCACTGTGCGGAGTTCTGGATTACTTTGGTCATATCTGTGTCAGGGGATAAATAAGATATAAAACAATCACGGGATAAAAAACTATAAAAGTTCATGAGTATGCATGGTGGAGCATAAGTTGTAATAATGCTTTGAAATCAGTGATTTCAAACACTTTTCACCTGACAGTCAGATACAGTACCTCAAGATGCCAATCATGAAGACCAATCAATCCCATCTGAAGAATTATTATTAAAGAGGTCACCATATCATATTATAAAGGATGAGTAACTTTATTTCCGAAGAATTGACCTCAAGTTAACCTGCTATATTTTCTAGGAATGTACTGAGAGAAAGTCAATGCCACTGACAGATCAAAATGTCATTTGACTGGTTTCTCTTTTCTTCGGCACCCTGTAGTTACAGTACAGCCCTTATTAACCGCAAAAGGGTTTAGCACTGTTTAAATTCATTATATGCTTATTTGTGTTGAAATACTGCAGACCAATTAACTGTATATTCCCTTATAATTGCATGTTTTAAAATGATGCCGATTACTTTATTTCTCTGTACGTCATTTTAATTACTGCAACGGGCTAGTGTCCTGTCCAGGGTATGCTTCAATGATCTATGTTTCCAGGACAGGCTTAAAAAAAGGCAGAAAAAAAGCAGATTTCTGATAATAGATGGAACATTTTAAGAGCGGAGCTTACGGTTTTTCATCTTAATACCTAGCAGGCTGTTCATTTGAATTCATCAATGATTTCCACAGGCTTTAGTCATTACAACAGAGGAAGTGACTGGTGGTGTAGGAATGAAGACAAAAGCAATGCAGTCTGTTATTTGGGTTTGCGGATAACCGGATTTGTTATTAGAGTAAGGCCTCATGTCTGTTTTGTAAATGTTCCAAGCAGCAGATGTTATAGTGCTGATGTTTAGTTTTGTTGGTTCAAGCACTGCCTATAACTGTTCCTGTAACTCTTTAAAACAGCTACTGTATACTTACCAGGAAACTTGAGTTTCACTTTTGCCATTTAGAGGCATTGAAATAAGTTTAGGCAGGGTAACACAAAACAAAGAGGCTATTCATACAACTTCAACACAATAGCCTTGTATCTAAGAGTTTTTTCATGCTTAATTAATTTAGGGGCACATGCTCTAATGGATCCTTGATATATAATCTATTAACCTTAAAGTTGATGATGCTTGTTTTCTTATCGGTAGAAAGCAGGAGCTTTTACCATTTCGAATATGAAAGAAGGAAAGAGAAAAGTCCGTTTGTGCCTTATTTTAGTACTAAATTTTACAACCTGCAGCAGGGTTGTTTAAGTGCTGTTACACGATAATCAGTCACCTGTGTTTGAAATGTGAAAGTCAACTTCAGAAATTCATTTGTTGATCATGGTTAGGCTGACATCTTGTGGACATGTTTTTAATAACATTCTGCACAAATGATATTTGCACATAGTAATGCAATATGACTCCCTTTAGCAGCAGTGCGTGGCACGTCTTTCAATTTCTAAACATTTCACAGACCACTACTGTACATACTAGTAGATTTTTAAAATGTACATTTATAAATATTCGTTATTTATGGGGATCTAACGCAATAACAACGAAATAATTAGCGCTCAGCAAACATTTGTAAGGTGTACAGTACATCCGAATTACTGTACTTGAGTTTCGTATTGATTATAATATTTACCCACACGCATGTAAACATGTATATTAAATAACAATGAGCTGGCTCGCAGTGTTTGGCTGCCTTCAAAGACGGTATATCAGATGACAGTGTTAGCCCTTCACCTTATTCTGTAACAGTTTTCTTTTCTCCTGGACTGTCCCTGATTTTCTGCGGTGCTAAACTTGGGAACCAAGTGCATATAAACTGTGGTAGCAGGCTTCCCAACAATAAGCAATCTGCTTACCACGTTCCTAATTTTTCCTCCGTTCCTTTATTTTGTTTTTCTTTTAGTGATTTGGATTACAGTGCTCTCTATACACTTTTTTTTTCTTTTCAGACTTATTAGCGAAAAATGGATGAACGTTCAAGTTGGAGATATAATCAAACTAGAAAACAACCAGTTTGTTACGGTAAGTTTCGTTTGGGGAAAAAAAAACTTTAAAATATACGGAGTAAATTAACCAGATTTATCAGATTTTCAACAGATTAGATACAATGTGTAAAATTCAATATGAGGCAGCAGATTGCCGATAAGAGACAGTTGCGAAAGCAACTGGTCCTGTTTTTTCTTGCTTCGCGTTTCTCTATATTAAACAGCAGTGGCAGACCTTTCTCTATATTAAGCAGCTACAGTTCGTATCTAGACAATAACCCTGATATTTGGGTTTTTTTTTCAAATTCAGGCAGATCTGCTATTGCTGTCCAGTAGTGAACCTCTTAATCTCGTATATATTGAGACTGCCGAACTGGATGGGTGAGTCTAATTTTTTATTGCGATGATTAACGACGTATTGTATTGCCGCATATTTGAAAATATGAATACGAATTTCATTGTAGTTTTTTTTTACAAAATTGACTTATTCAAGGCCTTGAAGCATATTTGATTGAGATTTGTATTTCAGTGTTATTTTATGTGCATTTAAACTGGGACATTATTGCTCTTGCTTGCGTATTTTTGATGTTTTTAATTAATGCTGTGGTGATATTACTATGGGGCAGCATGATTTTACAGTGATTAGCATTGGTGTCACGCAGTGGGACCCTGAGTTCAATTCCTGGGCTGCTATCTTCATGGAGTTTGCAAGTTATCTCCATGTTTGTGTGGGTTTCCTTTGGGTGCTCTGGTTTTCTCCCACAATTCATTGGAGGGTACACAGAGACACAAACATGCATATTCTCACACAGGAGCTAATTTTCCCAGAAGCAAATTAACCTAGCAGTACAGAAGGTCTTTGAACTTTGGGAAGAAACTGGAGCACCTGGTAAAAATTAATACGAACACAGAGATATACATTAAACCCCATAGGTCCAGACCCCTGATACAGTAAGCCCAGAACTGAACCTAGGGACTCAGTGGTGTTAGGCAGCATTGCTTACCACTGTGCTGCAGATTTAGAGATCGTTTAGAACTAAAATCTAATCATTCTTCAGCACTCAAAGAGCAGAGTTCTCTATATTGAACAGATTACTTGCCAATTACCTACCAATAAGTCTAACTGGAATGGAGCTCTCCGGGATCAGGGTTGGAGACCGCTGCTTTCAATTGATCAATATGCAAGTAAATACAAAAGCCCCCCGGCTTCCTCCTCCCTCCGCCAGCGCACACAGAGCAAGATAACAGAATTCAAACGGGCTAACATATTGAACTTGATACTTAGTAACTAGTTATTCAAAAGTGAAAATCATGGGCCTACCTTACCACTTGACTCGTTGGCGCTTCCGTCGCAGCAAGCTTGGCGATGATATCACCGAGGTCCACCGGCCTTGCGGTGCTGTTCTCTATAGACAGCAAAGCCAGAGCTGTCTTTCCTGTGACATGCTGGACCTCAGATAAGTTTTGATCCACACCAGTTTGCTGAACGAGCGTTCAGCACTGGCGACAGCAACTGGAAAACTGTTAAAAGCACTTGAACTGCTACTATCACTGTGTTTGGAAACGTTTCCCAATGGTCTTTTCTGTTGTGTTTCTCGCTACCCGACTTCACACTTCTGGATTGCTTTCATGTTGCACACTAACGAACATAACGTAGCTAGATGTAAGCTTGTCTGTTGCTCAGTCTTGCAGGGGAACAGGTCGCGTTATCCAATTCTACATATTTTGAAATGAACGCGCAAATGACCAATTGCAAATCATCCGCACAGCCGTGTTTTCCAATAGATCACTGTGTTTTATTTTAAAATACGACAGACTAATATTGCTATTGGATAATACACCGCGTTAGCCGCCCCTGGCATACGAGCTCTCGTTCGTTTATTATTGGTCCGTCCTGGTATAAACTTCTGCCGTATTTTAGCTCCAATTACATAATTCTGAAAATGTTCATCTTGCTGATATTTGGAAATCTGATAGGTTCAGAATTGTTGATCTCCGGCGGTTCAGACGTCCGGTTTATGCCGCATGTGAGGTCATTGCGGCCAATGTTGAAAGTGTTGAAAAGAAGGGGGCTTCATCGGTTGTTTGGAAATGGTTCGGATTTAAAAAGTCGGACCATGAGCAGAAAACGGTCATCTGCCAACGATGTCGGGCGACGATTTTAGCCAGAGGCGGTAATACGAGCAACCTCTTCTATCACCTACAGTATATTGTATTACATATTTGTTTCAGTTCTGCAAAATAAAAATGTTCCAAGTTCTGCTTCCGTTCAATGTTGAAATTTCAAAAATACTAAAGGAACAACATGGTAGCTTACCAACAGTTAATAATAAACTAATCGGTAACTCCAGGCAATACAAACTTACTATCCAAGTCTTCTACTGCTTTTAAAGCATGGTCTATTGAAATTCTGAGATAAAATTCGATATCGTTATATATATCGTTACCATCCAAACTTAAAATTATACCGTGATATACATTTTAGGCCATATCGCCCAGCCCTAGTGGCAAAATGGATTTATTCTTTTTGAGTTGAAAATACCTAACAAAATACAGTATATGAGTATTTTTTCTGTCTTTAAATGTTTAGCTAATATGAATGTTAATAATACAGTATGTCTGGGCTTCTTCTTACATACTGTACTGTGTGTGACTGGGTGTGAAACACAATCTGTATAAAATGTATGAATCACTTTAAAATATTTTTCTTTTTAAAAAAATCATTCTCATTAGCAAAGTTCATGGTTGAAACACATTTTAAATACCATTTTCAGAGAAACTAACCTAAAGGTGAAGCAGGCCCTGACAGTTACTGGGGAGATGGGAGATGACATCCAAACACTAGCGGCTTTTGATGGTGAGTTTCAGGGAACACAGTTCGGAAAGCTGGAACAGATAATGAATCAAGGCGTTGCCAGAGAGTAGTTCTAACACCCCCAAATGTACGGCCTTCCAACCTTTTGTAAAAAGCAAGTATTCATTATCATGCAGTATTCATCATTCGTGTTAACCAGAACATAAATTTTAAAAAAAGTAAATCGCACAAAAGAGCAGAACAAGAGAAAAAATGTGTAAAACAGAACATTTGACTTAAATTAATACTCTGTTGTTTTTTTTTTTGCAATAATACCATATTGATTTTTTCGACCTCCTGATTTTTTAAAGCACGTCGGAAATCCATCTTTGGTTGCTTTCAGGTGAGGTGAAATGTGAGCCGCCCAATAATCGCCTGGATAAGTTCATGGGCACGCTGACGTACCAGGGTCAGAAGTATGCCCTGGACAACGAGAAAATCTTGTTGAGGGGCTGCACGCTGAGAAACACGGAGTGGTGCTTCGGCCTTGTCATTTTCGGAGGTGAGCCTCGCCACGAGAGCTGTGCTGGCTGCCCTGAGGTACTGTACCGGGCTGCGTGGTCTGATCACTTTCATTAGGTGAATTCTTGGCTGTTGACATGAGTCAGGAATCCTAAGGTTGTCAGACTACATTCTGAAACACATGAAACAGAGGAAATGAAATTGGAACAAATGACAGGAATATGTACCAGCACGTTTGTACATATCTAAGTACAGTATATCCATCCATTAAGAGAAAATTACTCATCCTGGTGGTGAGGGGGAACAGCAGCCTGGAGTCTTTCTCAGAAACACAGAGCTCAAGGGAAGACTGGGATCACAGTACTGCCATCACCATGGATATTATACCAGTCCATCACATGGCAACAGAGGAAAGGATGGTATAGAATAGGCCATCAAAACTAATCAGCATGTCTTTAGTACGTGGAAGGTAACCAAAATACCGCACCCCCTTAAAAAAAACCCATCTGGAGACAAACCTAGGGATCACTCCTTTGAAGTGTAACATTGGAGAAATGATTATTCTAATCCTGTTCTGGGTGTTTTCAAGAGGACCGTTTGTGCAGAGTTTTACAACACTGTTTTTTAATAAATTATTATATCTTGCAGGTCCAGACACCAAGCTAATGCAGAACTGTGGGAAGACAACGTTTAAACGGACCAGCATTGATCGATTAATGAATGTACTAGTGCTCTGGGTGAGTGAGGGAGAGATCTTTGAATGATCTGAAAAACAGAATTTCATGAAATATGTTGAAGTAGACAGCTGCTTCAGCATGCGCAGGCTGCAAAGGAGCAAGTAAAGGTTTATTCTGTGCTGAAAGGGAAAGAAAATAATCAAAGTTTTGGTTGTGGAGCCTTCTTCAGATGTGACACATCTGAAGAAGGCTACACAGCCAAAATGTTGCTTCTCTTTTCTTCTCTGTTCAGCATGGAATAAACCTTTACTTGCTCCTTTTCATGAAATATGTTTTCTTATGTGGGCTACAGTAATTTGAAGTAGCTAAACTAATGCTTTGTGCTGATGATGTGGTTCTGAAGTTTCTCGAAAAGACTGAAATAAAGTTGTGCCATTGTTGTTGTTGTTCTGTAGATTTTTGGATTTCTGGGTTTCATGTGCACTGTCCTGGCAATTGGCAATGGGATCTGGGAACAGCAGGAAGGATCTAAATTCACAGTCTTCCTACCCTGGCAAGAGGGAGTCAATGCCCCCTTTTCAGCTTTCCTTACCTTCTGGTCCTACGTCATCATCCTCAATACTGTGGTGCCTATCTCCCTGTATGTAAGGTATGCCCTGTTTTCATTCAAGATGGCAGAAGAAGATTTATCCAGCAGCAAAGTGATGCCCATCATATTGCAGCCTTTCCTCAGGCTACGTGTGATTCGACTTATGTAAAATTAACTTCATGTAAAGCCCTCCCATGGGGCCCAGGATAAACTTCCCTAGGTCGGTTGACTTTACCTGACTGGTGTAAAGAGCAAGTTGTCCATGAATTTTCTTCCCCTGGTAAACAGCGGAGTTAAAGTAATCTCCAGCGTCCAGCAGGGGGCTCCATTTTACACTGACTCTCTCTTTTCACACTCATGTGGCATATTCCCAATCAATCAATCAAGGTTTATTTACCAATGCACAACAAAACAGCATACAGCGGTGGTTGTCGGCAGTGAATTGCATTTTCCGCAAGCTCGCCAAGGAGAGAGGACAGAATGTGATAGAACGTTACAAGAAGAATACAATAAATTATACAGTAACAATGTACAAGATTACGTCATAATAAAAAAAAATGCAGGCGTGAAAAAAAAAATTTGCATACTGTCTCGCACTTCTGAAAATTGTGAGCAACCTGTATTGCAACCATGTAAGGGATGCACCTGGATGATTTATTATTTTTATTATATATTGTGTTTAATTACTTAACAGCACGGTGCATGGGAATGAAGAGTACTGAATTTTTTAAATTGGTTAAATCAATTTGCTGTACTGTATTTATGTGTATGCTATATTTGATGTATTTCTAATCATAGAGTTTTTAAAATGTTTTTTCCCCCATTCGTCATTATTTAATTTCTATCCTCCTTGTATAAACAGAGTGTAGTTTTCTTTCTACCTCATGGACCGCTAGCTGCTGCAAATGTACATTCTCTCTCTTGCTCTCGTCCCTCTCTGTGATTAACACACACCTGTTTACCATTAAAGAACAGTAAATACTGTTGGGCCTGGAATTCTGCTCTCAGGTCCTTCCTTCTTTATAAACACTGACACAGCTGGAGGATCACTGCCATATTGTATCGTGAATAGTATTTACATGGTGGCTTAGAAAGAATCATTTCTGGCTTATATAATGTAAAGTCACATAACACTCACATGAAGGCTTGCAGAACCTAACCCTTGCATAACATGGGAAGCAAGTGCATATATAATTATCACATTGATCAGAACAGATGAAGAAAAGCTAGTTGAATTGATTTTTATAGAGTTGATTACATTGTACAATATTGAATAAACATTGTTCATCGAATAAAGACAGTTTTAGTATATATAAATAAGGATAAATACAATTAAATAAAGTGTAAAGACAGGTTTAATTGTGCTCTTTTATCTAATTAACCTGGATTGGGTTAAATTAATTAACCCCTTGACTCAGCATGATTAATTTGACTAATTTAGCAAACTCGGTTACATTCAGTGACACTGTGCATGTCTGGCAGCGTGGAGATCATCCGGCTGGGGAACAGTTTCTACATTGACTGGGACCGGAAGATGTACTACCCTCGCAGCGACACGCCCTCGGAAGCACGCACCACCACCCTCAATGAGGAGCTGGGGCAGATCAAGTACATCTTCTCCGACAAGACCGGCACCCTCACGCAGAACATCATGGCCTTCAACAAGTGCTCCATCAATGGCAAATCATACGGTATGGCCTGCTTACTGGGACTCGTGGGCACCTGCCAGTCTGTTGTTCTCTGTTTCATAGGGTTTCATGGTGAGCACCATCTCAAACGTCAGTGTGCATAAGGACGTGAAGGATTAATTATTCATATTTCTGATTAGGTTTGTGGATGTATCTAGCTGGGTTATGAGCTGGGTTAAGTTATTTTATATGTGTTGATCATTCAGTTTTAAACCTCCTTCCATCCAGCTGTGGAGTAGCTGGAGCCTATCTTGACAAGCCTACTGTACCAGGTGTAAATTTAACACATTTCGTGTCTTATTGCTGCAGGGGACGTGTTTGATTTTGCTGGGCAGGGAATGGAAATCACTGAGGTGAGAACTGCAGAGTTAAATGTGCTATGCCAAAACAGCCACTGAAATTCTATGAAGCAACAGTTTGCTGATGCAGTCATTCTCAATTATGAAGGCTGGAAGTCCAGGGGCCAGAGACAAAGTGCAGCTATTCTAGTCTCACACTGTGAACATGCTGTGAGACTAGAATGATCTGTTGATCTACCGTGTTGCTTGTAATGGTTTGTAACTATTTCCAGAAGTATAAAATACTGTATATACTGTACGTATTTCTGTTTGTCTTTTGTTTTAGTTTGGGAGTCTTTATTAAGATGAATTAATCATAAAGTGATCTCTCAGCTAAAAAATCTAAGAATCTCTCTATTGAGAGACAAAACAATGTCCCTTTATCATTTCAGTCACCAGTGATGCCCTTCCAATTCATGATAATATCTGTTTTGGTGCAGCAAAAGAGAGCAGCAATAAATGAAAAAACAAAACGAAACATTTACCTCTATTTATTTGTTCCTGTAGAAAATGGATAGAGTGGATTTCTCCTACAATCCTCTGGCAGATCCCAAGTTTGTCTTTCATGACCACAGCCTGGTGGAGGCTGTGAAGCTGGAAAACCTGGAAGTGCACACTTTCTTCAGACTGCTCTCGCTCTGCCACACGGTCATGGCTGAGGAGAAGAAAGAAGGTGGGATTTCTTTTATGTTAGAAAGGTACCATAATACTCGGCAGGGAAGCTCTCCGTGGCACCTGAGCCTGAGGCATCACCAGGATTCATACAAATCTGTGGTATTTCCCTCGGCTCATTCAGCTTATTCATTTGTGAAGAAGGTTCAGTAGTTAGAAAGTTTAAATTATGGTTATGATCATATTGATTTACAGTATGTAAAAAAATAAGTTTAAAACAATAGTCTTGTCACTTGTCATTCAAACCAATAAGTTAGAATCTAGTAAAAATGCCCCATAATCATGCTACTTTATCCTTAAATACAGTAAATGAGCTCTTTAATACTATTGCTGGGTGATGAAAACCTAAAGTAAATTAGAACGCTAATTTATAATGACTGTCTGAAGG